CCCGTCCCCTCAAATGCCCCCTGGAGCCACTGGCACAAGCTCACTATTATCTGGCTAGCGGGGGGCAGCAGCGCTCGCCCTGCCCCGAAAACCCGACACCGCCAACCTGAACTCAGAGCTTGCAAGCGGCTCCTGAACGTGCCTGTTTGCAGCCCCCTGTGGCCACGTGGGACTGAATTGTCTCCCTCGGCCAGGTCACGGGCTGGGTTCCAGCCCTGGGGTGCCCCGTGACCAGCGGCGCTCAAAGGTCACAGCCCCGCACCCCCATCTGACAACACCGGTTAGTGCATGACTCCAGGAGGCGGGAGCAGGGCCTGAGGCTGCCAGAGCCCTGCTGCTCCGACGGGGCCCAAGGCCCAAGGGCTTCATCCCCAGGCAGGGGGCCTGTGACCTGAGCCCAGGGTCCTGCTGTGGCCCCAGCCAACAGAGCCCTGCTGCTCCGACGGGGCCCAAGGCCCAAGGGCTTCATCCCCAGGCAGGGGGCCTGTGACCTGAGCCCAGGGTCCGGCTTTGGCCCCAGCCAATTGATCGCCAACCCCGGTGACGCTGGAGAACTGCTGCACGATACAGCCCAGCCCTGCCGCGAGCCTGCAGCCAGTATCCGGGACCACACCCCGCCCCGGGCGCTGCTCGGAGGCACCACTGCCCCTCTCGCAAGCCCTGAGGCTGATGTGAACTCGTCTGGCCATGAGCAAAACTGCCCCAGAGTGGGTGGGGCAGTGACCTGAGCCTCCGTGTCTTCCCACGCCCTGCGAAAGGCTGACATGTCCCTTTAACACCCTCCCACACAGCCCACCCACAGCCCCTGTCCTCCAGCCCCCGAGTGCCTGCCTGGGAGTTCGCCTCCCACCCACAGGGGAGGAGCGTGGAGCAAGGCCTGCGCTGCTGCGGCTGCCACCCCAGCTCCTGGTGCCTGCTGTTCCCGCGTGCTGCTTTGCTGCTGTTCCTCAGTCACCGTTCCCATCCCTGCGCTGTCCCCTGCTCCCCTGCTGCTGGCCCTGCGCTGTCGCCTCCTTCTGCCACCTGTCTGCTACGGGGACCTCTGTGAGTTGGTCTCTTGAGGATCGACCCAGGTCCCAGGGATTTCACCTTCCAGTGGGGGAACCTCACTGCCAGTGCAGGCGAGGCAGCCTCTTCCGCAGAAACGCCGTCCCACCACAGATCTAAGCAGCACTTAGGGGGCTCAATCTTTAAACCTGCCTTGCCTGGCCCTGCCTTGCCTGACCTGTCCTTCCCTGCCTGGCCCTGCCTTGCCTGGCCCTGCCTTGCCTGACCTGTCCTTCCCTGCCTGGCCCTGCCTTGCTTTGTGCTGCCTGGCCCTGTCCTGCCCTTCCCTGGCCTTTGCCCCTTCCTCCGCCCCACTGGGCTGTTTCCTGTGAAGCCCCTGCTTAGTGCGCTCAGTGCAGCTGCCACAGCCTGTCAGTCGTGCAGGCCAAGCGCATTTCCGCTGCCCTTTCCGCCCACGCGTGGATAAGATCCTTGCAGTCCTATTGGAAAGGGACCAGCAGGGGGAGCCAGAGG